GGCCCCAGGAGATGAGCAAGTAAACACAGGGTGGGTTTGAGAACTCAGGAGGCTTGCAGGGAGGCAGGATTGGAGCCCTGTGAGCCTGGGCTGCTGGAGACCAGCTAAGTGGACTTTGGGAGAGTGTCTGACTCTTTTACTTTGATCCCATTTGCCAAGATCCGTGCCAAGAACAAAGTGTCTTATGACAAAATGGCTAACTGGGAAACCTTTGGATTTTCCTCCCACCTTCAAAACACCCTTGGAGCACTCAAGGGAGGGGGGAAATTAAGGAGGGAGGGAAGCATAAATTAAGTCTCCTGCCCTGCTCTCCTTAAGTGTGCAGGGCAGCCAGCCACTGGTTGACAGGAGGCCAGGCAGACGGGAGCAGGTGAAGGTAGGGTTTGAGGACCTGGGGCATGGACAGCCACCTTCTCCAAGCCCTGCCTGCTGCTCCTCACTCTAAGCCAAAGGTGTGGCTTTCCCTTCTTATCCACAACTGATAGAATCAAGCCTAAAATATTCCTGATCCTACTTCTCTCTTTTTTTTTTTTAAGATTTTATTGGGGAATTGGGGAAGGGAAACAGCCAAATTGTTGTCTTTCAGTCTTAGTTGTGGAGGGCGCAGCTAGCTCAGCTCCAAGTCCAGTTGCCATCCGGCTGCCCATTGGCCACATGGCCACTCAGCTCAGGGTGCCATGTTCAATCTTAGTTGCAGGTGGGCTAGCCCACCATCCCATGTGGGAGTCAAACTGGAAACCTTGTTGCTAAGAGTGCACACTCTAACCACTGATGGCTGCCCTTCGGCAGCTCAGAGCAGCTCAGCTCAAGGTGCCCTGTTCAATCTTAGTTGCGGATAGGCGTAGCCCACCATCCCTTGCGGGAGTCCAACTAGCAACCTTGTTAAGAGCACGTGCTCTCACCAGCTGAGTCATCCTGCCACCTATTGGTAGCTCAGCTTGGGCGCAGCTCACTGGCCCATGTGGGAATTGAACCAGCAACCCTGTTGCTTAGAGCTTGCGTTCTAACCAACTGAGCCACCTGGCCGGCCTCTGATCTTACTTCTCTTACATATTCCAGCCTTTTAAGGAGCAGGCAAGTTCTCTTAATATTGGTGTTATGGGAGTCTCTCTCGGTTCTTGCCGATGCAGTGAAGAATCAAAGGTCAGCAAGCTGATTAATATGCAAGCAGGGTTTATTAGTGATACATTCTCAGGGAAGAGAACAGGCCTAGCCAAGGTGGGGGCGAAGGAGAGAAAGGGGGAGGGAGGGAGAGAGAGAGAGAGAGAGAGAGAGAGAGAGAGAGAGAGAGAGAAAGAGAGAAAGAGAGAGAGAGATGGCGAGTGCCAGAGAGCTTGAGGGTCAAAGAGAGTAGAGAGAGCTCTTGTCTCAGGACTTACAGGACTTACAGTTTGCTGGGTGGGGTGAGGGAGCTACATATTGATTTGGCAGGAAAAGGTGGTGGTGCATGCTCTTCCATAGGAGGGCATGATTTCCTAAGATGGGTGGAGGTCTGTTGACTCAGATCCTTATCTTACTCCAGACCACCTCTTGTCATCTGTTGTAAAAACTGATAGTGGCTGGAGGCAGAGGCAGTTCATCAAAGCTAGTTATGAGCTTTTTTCTGTAGGCCCTATGGACCCCCTCCCACCCCTCCTCCATTTTCTAACTTCTACCTAACATTGGCATGGAAACAAGGGTAATACAACTTTTCTCCGAAACAATTTTAAAAACTTTACCCTTTCAAAAGGAAATGGACAAGGCTGTCCAGAGCTTGTTCTACCATACTGTGAGTTAATTGTAGAAAAAGAACTTTGATTTTATTTTGTAATAAAAGCTAACTTATTTACTCTGAGTCGGGGTTTCTCTTTTATGATTATCTTCATTATGCAGAGAGGAAATTGAGGGCAAATAAAGGTTATGTAATCACCCAGAAGTCACACAACTGGTGGAGGGGAGCCTGGGTTTGCACATGGGCAGGCAATTCCAGGGTCTGAGTTCTTCACTGCACCATTCAGGATGTCTGGAGGAGGGGAAAGGCATCTTCCACAAATTCTTATGTGGAAGCCGGGGTACAACCCATGCAAGATGTACTGCGGGCATGAATTCAAGATGTGCCAGATGGAAGTAGAGGAAAGGGGGCCATTAGGATATATTTAGGAAATATATGTTTAGGCTAATTGGAGAAAATATATTTAGGAAAGGCTAGATACCATTTAGGATGCTAGAGGCACCTGAGATGATTCCATGTTCCCACAGCTTTTCCT